TTGTGCTAGACACAAGAACACAGACAAAAAGGATTTTTCTGTGCTTTCTTATTCTAGGAAAGGTCACTTGATGTGAGGACAAAAAGGCTCAGACCTTTTTGGGACACTCTTCTCAACTTTCAGCTCTCCTTGGATCAGCTGCCTATAAAAGGAAGACTCCACCAAATTCTTCAGTGAGACATTTTTGCTGAAAAGAAATTATAACATTCAAGCTCTCATATTCTCATATTCATTCTTAGAATTATTTGTACTTAAACTTAAGAGAAATATCACTGTTGTGATAAAAGCTTTTTAGAAGCATTCATTCTCTTGTATTAAATTTACATTGATTGTAAAGGATTTCCTTAAGAGGATTCAGTTTGAATCAGTAGCTCTTGAGAAGACTAAGAACAGTTGTTCTTAGGTGTTACTATTGTAATCGTTTTGATTAAATAGTGGATTAAGTCCTTGTTGAGAAAGGCAAATTACTATAGGAAGGGTGGACTTGAGTAGTTGAGTTCAACGAACCAGGATAAAAATAGTTGTGTTTTAATTCTAAGTTTTAATCTTTCATACTTATTCAACCCCCCCTCTAAGTATTATCTCACCTTCATTGTTCTCTGTTGAAGTTATGGTTTTGTTCTCTGTTGAAGTTATGATTTTGTTCTCTGTGTAAAGTTATGGTTTCAGTGTATATACCCCCACAGGTATATAGTGTAAGCAGCTTCAATAAGCATATACCTCCACGGGTATATAGTGTAAATTTCTGTTTCTGTTTTTTGATGTTTCTGTTTATTATTCATCATCCTCTAAACAATGAATCTTACAGGGAGGTATGCAAGCTGGTTGTGGCTTCTTTGATTGGTTTTATAAGGAGGTGGGTGATGAGAATGAGCAATTTTGGATGCATAGGCTGGGTGTGGTAACTAAGGGATTTGCTGAAGCAAAAAAGGACATTGAAAAGGCAACAATGGAGAATGAAGAATTAGGGAAAAAGCTAATGAAACTTGGAAGTGAAATGAAGAATATCATGAAGTGGAAAAAGATTTTGAATTTGATGTTTGTGATGATTATCATTGTATTAGTTGTTAGGGGTAGTTAGGTTATTACAGTTTGTTTGGAAGTATTATGTTTAGTTAAAGTTTGTATGACTTCAACATGAATGTAATAGTTGGATTTTAATATATGGATTGTATCAGTTTAGTTAATTTTAGTTTTTGCAGTTCAACATGAATGAATATAACAGTTTTGGATTATATCATGTCAAAGTGTTTTTATGTTTGGTATATAACAGTTTTGGTTTGTCAATGTGTTTTCTATGTTTGGTATATAACAATTTGGATTGTATTTGGTATAAAACAGTTTGGTATATAACAGCAGCATACATAAAGCAACATACATATATCAGTTTGGACTGCTTTTAGGTTCTGCTTTTAGGTTAAAGTGTTTTACCCAGTTTTTGTTATACATATAACAATTTTGGTTATACATAAAGCAGCATACATATAACAGTTTGAACAATGTGTTTTATCCAGTTTGGTATGCTTTTAACATAACAGTTTTGGTATATATTTCATAATACCTATTTGGTATATAGCAGCATAACAACAGTAAAATACAACATGTTCATGACAGCCTATTTGGTATATAGCAGCATAACAACAGCAAAATACAACATGTTCATGACAGTCTATTTGGTATATAGCAGCATAACAGCAGTAAAATACAACATGTTCATGACAGCCTATTTGGTATATAGCAGCATAACAGCAGTAAAATACAACATGTTCATGACAACCTATTTGGTATATAGCAGCATAACAACATAACAACCTATTTGGTTCATTTTATAAACCTGTAATACTTTCCAAAACAACATGTTCATGACAACAGTAAAATACAACAACTGTAGAACTTGTTCATGACAGCAGTAGAGTACAACATGTTCAAATTATAAACTTGTTCATGACAGCAGTAAATGTGGAATCAAGATTCAAAGCCTTTTATGTTTTGATAAAGACAACTCATACAAGTTTGACGAGCAAGATACTTTCACTATATACCCGTGGGGGTATATGCTTATTGAAGCTGCTTACACTATATACCCGTGGGGGTATATACACTGAAGATAAAATCAGTGTTCATTACAACAACAGTAGAATGTAATAGACTATGTTCAAATTATAAACTTGTTCAAATTATAACACATAAACTTGTTCATTACAACAACAGTAAAATGTAATAGACTTGTTCCAAAATGACAGCAGTACAATACATAAACTTGTTCTAGGTAACTAAACATGTTCCACAACTTAGAGTTTCTTCTTTGGCGTGGTACTCTTTGTTGGAGTAGACCTCCTTGTTACTGGGCCAACAACATTCTTCGCGGCACTCAACCTAGTTGTAGGACCAGGTGGCACAAAAGGTCTTGTTGGCTTCCTTACATACAGCTTTTGTGTCTTGCTTGGCTGAGATGCTTGGCAAGATTGTTGAGTAGGCTGAGATGGAGTCTGAGTTGAAGTAGGAGTGTGTTGACTAGTTTGTTGAACAGTCTGAGATGGAGTATGAGTTGGAGTTTAATTGAGTTGGAGTTTGTATGCTGTTGAACAGGCCCTGCAATAACATATAATGTAGCATATAAGTTTGAATATAACAACAACACATTTAAGTTTGGCATATAGCAACATATTTATAACAACATACATAAGTTTGGTTCATACTTAGTATATAACAGCAGCACACTTAAGTTTGATATATAGCAGCATATTTATAACAGCATACATAAGTTTGGTATATAGCAGCATATTTATAACAGCATACATAAGTTTGGTTCATATTTGGTATATAACAGCAGCACACTTAAGTTTGGTATATAGCAACATATTTATAACAACATACATAAGTTTGGTTCATATTTGGTATATAACAGTTTAGTCTATAGCAGCAACATACATATAACAGTTTGGATTATATTTGGTTCATATTTGGTATATAACAGCAGCACATTTAAGTTTGGTATATAACATGATATTTGTATATAACAGCAACACACTTAAGTTTGGTATATAACAGCAAGATACCTATAAACAGCAAGATACATATAACATCATATTTGGTATATAACAGCATATTTGGTCTGAGATGAAAAACAGCATAAGAATAAATGAAAAACTTGCCTTTTGTTGGTCTGAGATGAAGGTGTAAGTCAGACATTCATCTTTGCCTCCAAGGTCATCAATTAACAGCTCTAAAAACCAAGTCCAACTATCCTTCTAAAGCACCATTGTCATTAACAAGTTGGTTCATCCCAAATTGAGGGTCCTTGTAAAATATTGTTTCAAACTCCCTATAACCTAAGTCTTTCAATACACCAACTAGCTCAAAATAACTCCATCTGTCTACATCTACCTTCAAATCATCTACTACTCCATTCTCATATACACTACGACCTTCATCTGTGAACTCACCACTATGATGAATTTTCAGAGTTATGTATTCATCCATGATACCTAATCATACCATGTAAGTAATTAACGTTTAAATCAGAGAACCCTGAATCAGAGAAAAATGAACTAACCTTTTGAGATTGGCTCTTGAATCGTCTTCAATCCTCAATAAAAAAACCAGGTCTTCTTCTTCAATCGTCTTCACTTTTCAATCGTTCCTTCTTTTTCTGGGTAATGGTGTGTAATGAACACCAGAATCGTCTTCACTCTTCAATCGTTCCTTCTTCTTCTTCTTCAATCTTCCACTAAGACACTTCACTTCACTTCCACCTCAGCACTCCACTTCACTTCACTCCCACCTCAGCACTCCACATGGACAAACGTGACAATTTTTTCAAACTCAAACTAACGGCAACAGACAGAAGGATAAGCGTGACACTATTTTAAAAGTTAAGAGACCAACTTGACACTTTTTAAAGATAAGGGACCAAAGTGGACCCGAGGTAAAGTTAAGGGACCAAAAAGGTTATTTTACCTTAAAATATTAATTAAGACCATTTTTAATAATAACTCACATCAATAATGATTAATTTGACGACTTACTTAAATAAAAAATAATTATTATGATTAATCAATATTTTAAATTAAAATAAATTTAATTTTTCTGTAATTATAGAGGCTAGTATCTAGTGATTTTTTACCCTCTTAATTTTAAACCTTTGTGAGAAATTTTCGAGGTCCACCTTTTTTTTGGTCCACTTTATTAAAGAGAAAAACGGAGAAAATTAAACTTACGTAATTTAATATTTTAATTATCAAGTTACTTCCCAAACCGGTAGTATTAGGTGGCAACAACACTTAGTTATACGACAGACGATAGATCTGCCGTTCAACTTTCAACGCACAGCTCAATCGCAAAAACACGTTAAAATATTAAAACGACGTAGCATAATCTAAAAAAAAATCAAAATTAGAAGAAGAAAAAAAAACGCACACACAAATATTCGCATCTCCTTGTAGATCTGCTGCTAACCCTTCGGTTCCTCCCTTCATCAATTCAATCCTCTTCGATCTCGAGCTCCGATCCGTCGTTGCAGGTCAGCTCATCTTCTCCGCAGCAATTTCCTCCTCTCAGTTCTATCTTCCATTTCACTTTCATTTTTTCTTCCTCTTCGTGTTTCCACTTTCGTTTCCAAAATGTTAGGGTTTTTCAGATTTTCGAATTTCACTATTTCAACGCTAGATCTTGGTTTGTTCATCACCTGAAACCATGAAAACAACACCAGATTCACTTTGTTTTTTTTGTTATATTCGTTGTTTTTGATAAATCAACTTTACGATTGTTAAATCCTGAGATTCACTTTGGTAATTTCGTTGGTGTAAGTCGTTGGAACTTGAAACGAAGGTTTTTTGTTATTTAAGTAGATTAATCTTGGTTAATCCTTGTAGGTGTATGTGTATATGATTTAATTACTTTAATTAATGTTAATGTGAGTACTTTAGGGTTTTGACACGCGGGATTTGTGAATGAGTTGATTAATTTTTTTTTTTCTCTTTATACAGATTGTGAATTGAATGGAAGGAACTGGAGGCAGCAGTGCCTCTGCTGCTGCTGCGCAACCTGTGAATCAGTACTGGCAGGAATTTTCGAAGCTATTTCAATATTATTTGGATAAATCTACGCCACACTCTACGTATAGATGGATTGGGACTTTTGTTATTGCATCTATATATCTTTTAAGGGTTTTTTATATTCAAGGATTTTACATTGTGTCTTATGGACTGGGAATCTATATGCTGAATCTGTTGATTGGGTTCCTGTCACCTTTAGTTGATCCTGAGATGGAGCCTTCTGATGGACCTTTGCTACCAACTAAAGGGTCTGATGAGTTCAAACCATTCATTCGCCGGCTTCCTGAGTTTAAGTTCTGGTAATTTACTAATTTCAGATTTTATTGTGTGTCTAGTATAATATAATTTGATGATTAGCATAATAGGACAACATTGTTGTCACTTGCTGCTAAGTTTTGCTTTTGCATTTTAAAGTGTTATTTATTTATTTATTTATTTATGAGGAAGTTTTGATTAAATTTAGAATTTTTGTCAGTAGTTTCTAACGTGCTGCTTCATTACACCTCTTGAATGGTTATTGAACCTTTTATACGTGAATCATTTATGTTACTTTTTTTTTATGTTAATTTGACTATCATTTTTTAATTCTATTTGATTTTAGCTTTGTGTACTTTGGAGGTAATAGCTATCTATAAAATTGAGTATTTCCATTTGCTCTCCCAGAAAACATTTTTCCTGGCCATTAAAAAACATTTGTTTTATCACTTGCTCCCAGCTTCCACTGTGTGCAATGTAGCCATTCAATAATGAATAATCAGTTAATCACCGATGGCATGTTGTTGCAAGCTACTGGTAATTGAACTTAATAGCAGATAAGTACAGGAAAATGATCTTTTCTTCTAAAGTATGTTTATCGAAAAAACTTAATTTTCCAATCACATTATTTTCCATTGAACAAACTGTCATCTCAATATCCTTTTGTCGTTAATAGGTATTTATTTCACATATGATTAAAGGGAAAGTTCTTACTTGGCACATGTGTCATTACAATACTTGAAACTGTTTTGTGGAATAAATTTTGTTTGAATCAAGATTAAATGTTGTAGCATGATAAGAAGATTTGTATTTTCTGACTTTGGTGGTATGAACTGTTTTATTTAATCCAACTTTCTTGAAAGAGGGTGGTGCTTGGGCATTCTTTTGAAATAAAATTCAACGACCTGTGAAATTTTTGTACAATTATGATTTGCTAAAGCTTGTATGTTTAAGTCTGGTAAAATTTCATAGGTATCTCCATTCCTGTAAGAATGACGATTTGTATTATTCTTGTTATCCTGGTTGCAGGTATTCTTTCACAAAAGCTTTCTGCATTGCATTTTTGATGACATTCTTCTCTGTATTTGACGTACCTGTCTTCTGGCCAATATTACTCTGTTACTGGGTTGTTCTGTTTGTCCTTACAATGAGGCGCCAAATTGCACACATGATCAAATACAGATATATTCCATTCAGCTTGGGAAAACAGGTTTTTACTTTTTATAATTAGACTGTCTTTAATCATTTGCCCTGTGACCTATTAAGATGTTTATTCACAAAAATCCAGCAGAAGCAAGATTTGTTTGGCTGTATCAATTGCATGAAAGCTAAGGTCTATTTTTTAAAACGTAATGCAGAAGTACGGTGGCAAGAGATCTTCTGGAAGTAGCAGTGGCTCTCGGGCAGACTGAAGCTTTGCTGTGTCATGATTTGAAGAACACAGATCTCAAAGTTAGGTTTTATGGGCATTCGGGGTACTTGTTTTTCCCTTTTATTTGAAGGAATTTGTAGTCAGCATTAAGGATGCCTATATGCAGTTACAGAAAGTATTCGTTTTATGGTTTTATGATACCAGAAGACATGCTAATGCTGGTACTGAACTTCATTGTTGATATAGTTTTAGATTTATTGCAATTTTAGTCTTGTATTGCCATTGGACTATCATGATCTCAGGACAGATTTCACACACAACCTTGATTTTTCTCTTAGGTTATTTCTATTGCCTTTGATGTTTCTGCATCTTTATTTGTTAATGTTAGTTAGTATATTAGATTGACTATTGACTCTGTCAAATTTGGCATAATTTTCTCTCCTAAAGATATTTTTATTTTTTTGCCAAATTAAGCATTATATTAGATTGACTATTGACTGTGTCCATAATATGAACAATTTTTCGCCAAAATATATATTTTTATTATTGGGCAATCAATGGTGGGTGTTGCAGCTTTCGGAAGCTGATGAGTTTCCGCTGTACCTACATATAATCCATTTATGATGATAAATATACATTAATCATTAATATTTTTTAAATTTGTTTTGTGAAATAGTTAAATGTTAAAAATATTGTAGGAGTGCTGGAGTATTTGATTTAACGTCCATGTTTAATTTTTTGGCAAACTTTTATCATTTCATCAACCAACAGTTGTTGGAAATTGGAATCATATAAACTTAGGTTAGTAAAAATTCCAAGTTTCTAATTTCATAATTTGATGTCAATTTCATAAGGCTCGTAGTTTATAGTGCCGTTTTTGTGTTTGTATTCTGATAGTTATGATTTGGTGTATTGTTGAAGTGCGCTATCAGTATAAAGAAGTATTTTAAAAATAAAAACGATACCTTTTTCTCGTAATAGTGTGTATATTTTTTTATAATTATTTGATGTTGTTATATCATGTGGAAATTTTAAAAGTAAACTTTATTGTTTTAAAAATTATTATTATGTGGTTAAATTAATTTTCATATAATTAAAGCTTAAATAGTCTATTATTTCTGGTAAGTTGGTGTGTTTTTGGTTTTTGTCTTTGTATTTATATTTATGGATAAATTCTTAAATGTTAAATTTTATTTAAGTTTAGCTCAAATATGTAGGTTTCATAAAATAAAATAAAATTTAACACTTAAGGATTATTTTTAGAGAAAAAAATACAAATACGCCAATTTATTGGAAGTAGGGCTGGCAATGAACCAAACCAACTCGAAGATAGTTCGGAATTCGACTCGACAATTAAATCGTTGAACTAGGTTCATGAACCAAATGAGTTGAGTATGAGCGAAAAATTAAGTTCGTTAACTAAATGAGTTGAACTTGAACTATACATAGTTCGACTCATTAGGTTCATGAGTCAACTCGATTACATATGAAAAGAATTATACTGTCTTTAAGATTAGGTTTAAATATTTACTTCAAATCTTAGACAAATTTAATCTTCAATTTAGTAGTTTTTGAATTAGACTCTCAAATGTATCTCTTGAAAGTTGTGTAGGTTTTGAATTAGTAGATTTCGAAGATAAAGTTAAATTTCAATATGATAACTTTTATTTTATTTTAATATTTTATTTAAAAATATATATATTTATTTAAAATGTCAAATATACTAAAATATATATATATTTAAAAAAATAGTTTTTAAGTTCGTGAACCATGTGAGCTGAACCTAATGAGATGAACCTAACGAGTCGAACCGAACTGTTCGTGAACTTATAACGAGTCGAGTTTGAGCTTAAAAAAAAGTTCGTGTCGAACTCGAACTCGAACTCGAATTCGAACAATTTTTAACGAGTCGAGCCGAGCTGAGGTGAGTTCGACTCGACTCGACTCATTTCCAGCCCTAATTGGAAGGAAAAAAACCTAGTATATACTTTCTCCATTTTATAAAAAGTGTTTCATTTGTATTTTTTTTAGTCTCAAAATAATTGTTCATTTACATTATTATACATCACTTATTATTATTTTTTCACTACTATATTTTTATTTACTAACTTTTACTTTATTCAACAATTTTATTAACTATATTTAATAAAAGTATTTTAGTAAATGATATTAGTTTTTTCATTAAAATTAATATATCTAATTATTTTTATAAGAATCGCCAATTGTTTAAATATGACACTTTTATTGTTCAAATATGATATTTTTTATCATATGGAAATAATAATAATTAATTATGATAGTATATTGTACTGAAATAATCCATAGGATAACTTTTTACATTACATAGTAATTTAGTTTCATTTATATCAGCAGAAGTTAACTCACATAGTTTATCAATAATAAACTATTGAATTTACATCGAATTGAGATCGAATATCAAAGTTAACATAAAATAAGCTTTGATGGGTATAACGTAAGAAATTATTTGTAAACTTGGTGGAATCAAGTTGGATGACTTTTAGTTTAAAAAAGGGGATGACTTTTGCTTATTAAAAAAGAAGTGGGATGACTTTTAGTTAAAGAAAGGTGAGGAAATAACTCTAGGGTTAAGAGACTTTTAGAAGAAGAAAATTGATTTCCCTCTTCTTTCTTTTTATGTTTTTGACTTCAGTCACTCTCTTATTCATTCATTTTATTTTTCATTTTCTCTCCATGGAATTCTAAGTGTCGGTAAGTAAAACTTCATCTCCACCCTTTACTTTTCAAATGATTTGCGCTTTGATTTAAAAATATGTAGTGAATCAAAGTTCCTTTCAATCTTTGTTGTTTTAAAGGACAAATTTTTATCACAAACAAATTCCTTTTCTGTTTTTCCTCTATAGGTTGAATTGTTTGAATTTTTTTTATATTAGTATATTCAAGAGAAATGATTAGAGACGAAGATATTATAATATTGAGAGAATTGGAGGAGAATAGGAAAGCTTCACTCGTCTATGATGAGAATCAAATTGCATTATTGAATGGAGTCAATATAATCATTGGAATAAAACTTATAAGACAAGTTACTTGCTTAACCGGATATGACAATGCAATCAACTAGGTAGTAATAACTATAACTAATTTAACTAACTTTGAAACTAATATAATTAGGGGTGGCAAAACGGGTCTGGTCTGTTGGGCATGTTCGTTTTTCCCACACTTTACTGTGGGGCGGGTCAAAGGATTAGGCCCCCGCTCTCTAGTGTGTTCGTCCCGCTCCGTTTCATTTTTTTCGCGGATATTTGTGGACACGAGCATTTACATAAATTTTGTCGTTTTTAGACTTAAAATATGCAGTGCCTGCGGGCTTTCTCCGCATCGCCCTCACTTTTTGGCAGGGCGAGCCTGGGTTTTAGACCCGCATCTTCAACTATGACCACCCTGTCCTGCCCCATTTTTTACAGGCTTTTGCGGGGCGGGCCTAAACGTGGCGAGCCTAAACGTGACGGGCGTGCGCATTTTCCACCCATAAATATAACGACTTACTTGCTTAACAAATAACCAATTCATTAACATTCAACTACACACAACATTTCACCTCATTCATGATTTTCAATGTTTGAATTTCAATTAATGTCTTCAATTGATCAAAAGTTGACTTTTTTCAATAGTTTAATGTTTGCTCGTCCCAACTCTATTTTGTAGTAATCAAGTTCAAATTTTGTTGTGTTCACTTGATCAAGCAGAAAATTGAATTGCATTTATATGTGTTTATTCATGTCATGGCTCCCATTGTGTTTAGTCAGATTTATTGTTGATTTACTTTTTATAAGTAGCTCAACCATTGTAGTTTGAGTCATCTTCATTTCATCAAGTATTGTTCTAATCCATAGTGTTTGAGAGGATAAAATAACAAATTATTTCTTCTTTGAACACCAAGAAAATGGAGCTTTACCTATCATGAACAAATAACCATTTGCGTTCTTCCTAACATCTTAATTTTCATCCCCAATCTGAGTGTGAGTAACCAAATGCTATAATATGATTCTTTTTGTTTATTTTTTTTGTTTATGATCAATATAATGTGATCCATGGTTACTTTCATATCTCTCGAGATTCTCTTTAAAAAATTAAAATGTGATGTCTTTGGTTGCTTCATGAACCTACCAGCTAAATCAAAACTTTCACATAGATCATGCATGATATTATATTGATACCTTAATAATCATGTTATTTGTTTGTTTATAGTAACATAACTAACTCCTTACCTATTTCCTCGTTGAATTTGGATTAATTGTTAATAGGTGTCAGAGTTGCATTGCAATGCAACATATCGAATTTCTTTAGCACATTTTTTCGTATGTTTTTGGTGCAAGAAAATGTTTTTGCTTATGTTCCTAGACTGCATTCCTAAAAATTAAGATAGGTTGCCAAAATTAGACATCCCAAGAGTAAAGAAAATTGTTAATAAATTGGAAAATCTCATAAAATAAGGAAATTAGTTGAAACAGAGTGTTGTTAGTACTACCCAAACAAAAAATATAAGAAAATTATATTAAAATAGAAATGTAGGTGAAGTTGTAATGGTCATATGGTGTGATTGACTTCATACTTGTAGTATAAATTATGTGCAATTTATGATACATGACCTTACATGGATCAGATTTGTCCTTGCAAATGTGAGGAGCATCAGATTTGGGGCGATTTCTGGGAATTATGTTTGTGTTGTGTTTCAACGTTTGCAAATGCTTTTGATGCCCAAATAAGTGATTGTCGCAAGTGAGATGTGTTTTAAGTAAGAAAAAATGTGTACGTTGAATTGACATATTGTCTTTTTATCATGGTCAGGTCCTAGGGTTTTGGGGACCAAGATCCTTTTATACAAAATAATAGTCTAAAGAGACAAGTGTCAAAATATTACTCCTTTTGTCATCTAACGGTTTTTTTTCATTCATTTGCCTTTATCGGGTGTTTTCCTAGGGAAGAGCTGCTATTTTTCTCGAGGTCTTATAGCCTTCTTTAGGTCCATAGATGGAGAAATAATGTCATGAACTCGACGTC